AGTTAGACATTTAAGCTAGATAACATGGAAAGCAATGCACATGAAATTGGTTTCTTGTTTGCTTCTTTGCTAGCCTGTTCTTGGTTCAGGTAGTCATGGGCAGCACGGAAGCCAGACCAAGGTAAGTAAGCTACGAAGTGTGCCTTGTCCTGCGACCTCTCCTATTACAAGTGGTCCCTTTTGAATCCTAGCTACTATTTCTACGTATTAACTACTTGGGCAAAGATTGTACTGTGATTAGCATTCGCTTGACTTACAAAGAGCCTGATTAAGCTAATGATCATCCTTATGCAAGAAATATTTTTTGCAGCTCTTTATTCATATCTGTGGTACAGTATGAATATTAAAAAAAACTCCCCTTATTGGTTCTATTCTGAATAACATTATGCACACCTGAGGCCCTTCAGACAGCCAAATCAGAAAAGTCAACTCAGCATAAATCACCTCCGTAATGATGAATAGCTTTACATCTTAAAATAAGTATCAGATCACATTTGTTGCCGATTTGCATAAATAGGATTTTGTTGACACTTGACTTACTTAATCGTAAATTGCAGTGCTCCGATTTCTGGAATGTCTGCAAAAACTGAAACTCCTTGACTTGTAAATTTGTGGACAGCAAACATTCTTACAGTCCTGGAATATTATTAAAAGGGTATCCTCTCCTTTGTCTTCTTCCATACTGTGGGATTTGAGAAAAAGCCCCTTAGGACGCAATATAGCTTCTTCAACTAAATTCTCTTGTTGGTGTTCCAGCCCATCAGCATTTTAGTGATCGGAAGCATGTGATAATGAATCTACTTTTCATAAGTGGATGATAGCTTTTATCACTAGCATTTAATTTGTTACATTGACTTTTTAATGAAAGAATTTGAGAAACGTGATCAGAGATTTATATAGCAGTGATAAAAGTTCCCCCCCTGTAAATTGCTCTACGGCATTTTGCAACGTTTATAAATTAAATATCTGGTTGTCTTTCTCTTCGGAAAACTGTATTTGCACTTGAAGAGGAAATAGTGAGGTAGACTAGGCTAATACATTAGGAATCAATGTATAAAAGTCAAGCTCACATCCACCTTGAGCTTTGGCTCTGGGAAATTCACTGGTTCCAGAAGCCTAAGAGTGTTTCTGTGAGACATTGCTTGATAGTTCGGCTTTGAAAAAGGGTAGGTAGACACATTGGCTCCATGCTACCTTTTACATGCTTCTTAGATTATTTTGATTCTATATATTCTCCCTTCTATCATGTGGTGGTTGGTATCTTTTATGTGAAATAAAACATATTCCTCACTTTACCATGCAGTGAGGTATTCTGGGGCAATTCCATAACAAGTCTCCATTTCAGTGAAAAAGTGTCTGGAGACTTAAGGGACCTTGGTGAAATTTGCTTTATTTATAAATACACATACAGAACATGGTGATGACAAGTACACTCCTCTAATTAGGTAGTGTAGTTGCTGTCTTGTATCAGATTCCCAATAATTCCTGCAGCCATGTTGGCTAATAGCAGCTAGATTTCCCAGCTCACCCACTCTTCTCTTATTCTTTGGTGTCTAAACCACAGAGCCTAGGGCTTGCTGATTCGAATCCCGGTGACAGGGTGAGCTCCCGTTGTTTGGTCCCAGCTCCTGCCCACCTAGCAGTTCAAAAGCACATCAAGTGCAAGTAGATAAATAGGTACTCCCTCGGCGGGAAGGTAAACGGCATTTCCGTGTGCTGCTCTGGTTCGCCAGAAGCGGCTTAGTCATGCTGGCCACACGACCCAGAAAAACTGTCTGTGGACAAACGCCGGCTCCCTCGGCCAGTAACCCCAGAGTTGTCCATGACTGGACCTAATGGTCAGGGGTACCTTTACCTTTTTATTTATCACTCACTATGCAACTATGTTTAAATAATAATAATAATAATGCTGCAATTTAGCCTCTGCAGCCCATTACTTCACTGAAAATTGTGTGGGGTGAGAAGACCTACTTGTGATGGATTGTTGTCAGTAGCCTTGCAAAATGAGTTGACAGCTAAGTAAAATATTCCCATCCTTCTGGAAACTTCCTGGCTGAAGAGAACGCTATGTGCGCTCTGATTTAGAAGAGATAGCAGATTCAGGATAAAATGTAAAGATTTGTTGGACATGACCATACTTGGTGTTCCTTGTCTGTAGCTGTAATCCAATAAACAAGTTTGGACTCTCCATGTGTTTTAAGAAACATCTCTCCAATGCCAACAGAAATGAAAGGAACTGGGAAAATAATTCCTTTAAATGTATGGTGTGTATGCAGCCGAAGCACATCTTTATATAACACCATTAGCACCCCCAGCTTTTTACCATATACACTATGCATTAAAAGCACATGTGAATCACATGACTCCCCCCCCCCAAATCCTGGAAACTATAGTTTAAGGGTGCTGGGAACTGCAGCTCTGCCAAAGGTAAAGGACCCCTGGGTGGTTACATCTAGTCGAATTAGACTTTGGGGTGCGGCACTCATCTCCTCTTTCTGGCCAAAGGAGCTGGTATTTGTCTGCAGACAGCTTTCCTGCAGCTCGGTATATGATGGGGTCTCTGTGTGTTAAACTATGGTTACCAGGATAATTTGGAGAAAGTCATGTGCTTTAAATGTATGTGTGTAAGCAGCCTAAATGGTAAAAAGTGAAAGATACTAAAGACATTAGGCAACACAGGTGCTTGGGCTCTGTCAACTGAAGCTACAGCTTGCCAAGCATAAAATGGGCTGACTCCAGATTAATGATCTTGCAGCTCCCTCTTTAGCCATTGGCATATTGGTCCAATTCTGGTGTGTGTGCATGCACATGAGTTAAGGATCAGCCAGAGCAACAGCAAAACAAAGAAAGTAAATACACTTCTCATTGTACTTCATTTACTTTCACGTGGATCTTTTGGCACATAAACAGCCTGGAACACATTCAAGTCAATATTAGTTAAAATTAAAAAAATTAAAAAGCCAATGATGCCGCTCCCCCCAAAAGTTTTTAAACCCTTCTTGGTGGCTGAAGATAAGATTGTATACTCTGCCGTACCTGGGAATTGCTTACTGAAGTTTTTGTCATGGAAACAGAAACTCCTGCTCATCTACCAACTGAAGACATTATGTACATATATACATATATAAGGCTTTGCTGCTGGGCAAATCAATTGCATTTGTAAGGTACTGTACAGCATAAATTAAATGGTGGTTCTGGTTAGCTTTTCCCTTTGAGAATTAAGACCCACAACTGTACATTCTTCCCACATCTCTTCCACTAACCCCCCATCCTGCTAAAGTAAATGTCCTTACATTTCAACTTTTCCTTTCTCATGTAAGCAGAGCTCTTGGTGAGTGACACCAGTGAGGATCTAACTGACCGCAACTTGATTTATTTCTGATAGAAAAACTCGAATTTGTATAGATATGAAATAGAAACAAGTGCCCCCACAAGGCATGAGAGTAAGCACCTTGGAAGCCTGATGAAGGTTTTTTATCAGACCACCCTCTCATGCATTGATGTCTGTTACCCCACAGGCTTTGGCATTGCTAATAATGAAAATGTAACACATGTGGTGACTTGTGTATCTAGTTTGTTGTTAATAGAAGCAGACTGTATTTGTCTCCAGAAGATAAATATACAGAAAAAGCTTCCCTTGTGTTCTTTTGGCAGAAAGCGAACCACCTACAGTTGCTTTAGTGTTTGAGTTTTTTAGCCTCACCATCTAGAAACAGCTCATGGTGCCTGGAGAGTTCGTGTACAGAACTCTGAGTCGAACATTGAGAGAGACAAGCCCTGCTAGCCACAAAGGCATGCCTAGGTTGCTAATTTGGAGGTGTGGGGAGCAGGTCTTCAGAGATGGACAGAGATCACAAATTCAGCCCTAGTTAAATATCAAAGTACTCCAAGCTAGTTTTATGCTATGTGAAAACACCTCTTTCCTAAGTGTTGAAAGGCATGATGGGAGTAGATTTACAAGAGCCATTCCAGCGTCAAATGGGTTGCTTTTGTAACAAATTGATATCATGACCTTTTTTAGTTTCTATATTCTGTCCTGGATCCACACTGGAAATTCTTTGCTTTAGAGAGTTCAACAAACAAGTATGGCTTTTCATTACATGACTTCAAATAGCTATTGGAGGTGTTCTTCAACCTTGGATGTTGTTGGATTACAACTGCTCTCATTGATTAAGATGTCTTGGGATGATAGGATTTGTAGTCCAACAAGATCTGGAGACTCTAGGCTGAAGAACAGCTATAAGGCCTTAGTGCAAGTATACTGAAGAGCTGTGGCTCTAGTTGTACTGGGGGGCACTGTAGTGAACTGCACACACACAGCTCATATGTTCAGTGTGGACAGTTGCATATAGTCAGATAAAAACTGCAACTATTTGTCATACATGCCAGTGTCTGTGGTTGAACATCTACATTATCTTGTATGGGAGAGAGACATCAAACTAATATCTGAATGTAAATGAAATGGGATTCAACAGTAGCATGTGATATTCAGGCATATGGTTACACAGAAAGTTTACAACTATTCACAACTGATGTGTATTTTCTGACATATATTTTTCCTTGGTGCAGCATTGTTATTTTATTCTTCTTGTCCTATAGATCTATTCTGTAGATAAATCCTGAGAGAATGATGGGTTGGACCAGCTGGTTATGTGTTGTTCTTCATTCTAGTTACTGAAAGCTTAAACTTGCAATAGAGTGTGATTATATATATATATATATATATATATATATATATATATATATATATATTCAAGTCTAGAAAGCTTGGTACCTAACATAATCATTATCTGGATGTTTGACAGATAGCAATGAAAAGGGAGAGGGTTAATGTGTAGCAACTTTCTTGGAAAGGTGAGCCAGTTCATTTATGTGAGCCAGTATCATTTAACTTAAACGTAACCAGCTACATATTGTTATTTGTCAACTGCCTAACAATTCCCCTGCATTCCAGGGACAGGAAGCAAACCCAGGAGGTTTACAGGTGGTCTGATACAGGGTTGGTAGACTACATTCAGTTTAATGGGTCACAAATTATGTAGGCCTGCTGTAGGATCACAAACAACGTCATTCTCTTTGTAATATCACTTTTTTAACAAGGGAGGAACTCAGAAAGGCTGGTGACAGATGTTTCAGAAGTTATTGTAGGGAGGTTATAAAGGTATGGGCTGGCTTTATATAGGGAATATATATATGTTCTTCTGAATACCTATTTGCTGAATAAATCTTGGGCATAAAATAGGGGGCATGTTTTATTTTCTTTTAAAAACCGATTCATGCATAGGATAGAATAAAATGTAGTTGTATGCATAATTCACTGTGGAACTGTTAAAACCTTCCAATTTTACAAAGGTCTGTAATGAAGAGGCAGTTCTAATGTAATATTTTTCCCCTATAGGATTCCCTTGGGTATTTACACATTAAAACATTTAACCAGAATGAAAAAGCATTTCAGTCAATCCCGTGAGGCTGACCTCTTAACAGTTAACTTGTTCAGTTTCTAGTCACATTCTTAGTTGAGAAAATAATTTTAAAATTAACCCTGTGAATACAAGATGACTGGGGGCTAGCCTGGACATTGGCCTTTTTATAGATTAATCATAAATAAATAAAATTCCCCAGATATGAAATAGCTTTCTCAACAACATCAGGGAGGAAACTCTTATAAAAAAAGAAAAGAAAATTAGTTTTGGGTGCATTAGTAAAACATAGTAAGAGGTGACCAAACAATTTGTGTTCACATTAAAATAAACTGGCCCTACATAAAAGCCTGCTCAACAAGCAACATTCAACAAACTTAAGAGATTCAAAGTATGTCCATTGTGAAAGACGGGTTAAGTTCTATAAACATGGTTTGACTGGGGAGTTTATTGTTCTCCCTTGTTTGCATTGTGGGAGCTTTTGCAGTTTCCAGACAGTACTTCATTTTCAAAAGTTCAGCTTTTAGCAAATGCACAATGGAGTTCAAATGTAGATGCATCTTGTGTTGCCACAGGGAACGCCTCTTAATACCATATACCAGCTTTGTTTGTCTGAAACGACGCATGGTTCCCCTTCAGTGCCGGATTTCCCATAACTCTTCAAGGTGCTCAAGCAACAACAACTGCAACAGCACAATGAAGTGTTGATAATTGTTAAGAAATGAGTCAAATGTTTGCATATCCTTTCATTGTGTGCTGTTGGTCTGGCAGTTCCCTCTTCAGCAAATATCTGTGCTGTAGCTGAGATCTTCTGTGCTCCATTATCTGTGTGGTGCCGCATCCCTTTCAAGAAACATCTCATACCTCATTTACCCCCTTTATTCTTTCCACTTGACTTCTGAATTAGTGGGACCAATTGTGGTTCCTCCCTCCTCTTTTTACTCATTACCTTGCTCTTTCCTTTTTTACTTTTCATCTTCATCTCCTTCACTCATGCTGCTAATGGATGCTGAGGCGGCTTTTGGGGAGGAAGGAGGTGAAGCCTTTCTGAAGAGCCAGGGGGAAGGGGGAGATGGAGACCGTGATGGGGAACGCCCTCGTGTTGGACTGCTTGTGGGGCTTTGCCTTGGAGACAAGGCTTGAAGCATGCGCCCACTCCGCTCTTGAAACATCTGCTTCTGGAAAGCAAACAGAGAGGAAAATAAGTATTTTCTTTCTTTCTTTCAGCACACTAGCAGTCTCAGCAGCAGACTGGTGTGTTCTTGCACAAAGCTTGGGAATTACTGCTATAGAGACTACTACGAACTAATTTGGGAAAATAGAAGCAAAACAGTACTGGAACAATTTATAGGCGTTTTTATTTTAAGTGGACTGTGCGCTCCTTGCCTAACTTCTAGAAATTGTACGTGGGCACAGAATGTATTATTTCGCAAATAGTTATTATAATAATAGCATATTAATGGATGCACATTGCTGGTCTGAGAAGTTAGCACGCTTGGAACTATTCCTGTACATGCAATGTCAACACTGAAAGCCATGTCTGATATGGAAAATTAATGTTAATAACAATTTTGACAGTAATAGCAAGTTATCATGAAAAAGCTCACCTTTTGCAGTTGCTGACATGGACTTAATTTCCCCCCTCCCCCAGGACACATGGGCTTTACTGTCATTAAGCTTTTCTTTAGAACAATGCCACCTCTGATTTCACTCTTCAGTGGATAATTTTATGTGGCTTGGCACTACAAAGGCCTTCATGTAAAATTGCTTCTAGTTCCTTGCTCTGTCGTTGCTGCCACTCTCAATCACACAAGAAACAAAAATTGTTTCCTCTTTGAACTTTCAGTCTATAAGTCAGTGTGCAGTCATACACAACAACTGCACCTCCTTAGGACCAGTCTTAGTGCTTTACATAGCAGCTTTTAGTGTGCAAAGTGCTTTTTAAATCCTAACTTGTGGTAAAAAAAATAAATGATGGCAAAGGGCATGCTTTGCAGAAGTAGGATCCCAGGTTTAATTCCTTGTATCCCATTAAAAGGATATTGGGTAAAAGGCCCAAGACTTTAAAAAGTCATAGCTAAGCAGAATAGATGCTGGACTTTGTGGTTTCTTGCACAACACCAAAAAAGAAGACACAACACAAGGCCTATATAATGCAAATTTAAAATGAATTGCTTAATTTAAATATATCTCATCATAGTGAGGAAGACTGACTGGGCGAGCTGTGCCCCTTCTCGGTCTGCTGTCCAGGTGCTAACTGATGATGGGCAATTTTAGTGCTGCTGTTCTCATGGTTTCATTATAATTACACTGGACTTGGAGTGGGCATCCCTTCAAGCAGAGGACTTTCCTTGATAAAGTCAGAAACTTGGTCAACCTAGCCAGACTAGATTGATCAATGGTCTGGCAACACAAAGTAGCTTCAAATGTTCATACGATTTAATGGGTCCCACTTTACTGATTTACAAGCTGTGGCTAAAACACTGTGGCTTATCTATGACTATATTATTCAAATCTTCCAAGTCCAAATTAACTACAAACTGCCTTTGAAAAAAGACTATAAATGTTTCCTAACGTATATCAGGTATGTTTTCCTAATATTAATATTTACAGTGCACAGAATCTGCAAAACCAGTCTGTTGTAAATCCTGCTGCAACTTGTTGTAGCCTCCACTGATATTAACAGAGATGGAAGTAAATATAAAGCACAGTTTAGAGTATGTACCCAAGCTCCGTCTGGCCCAAACAGCTCTAAAAAGTTCCCAATAAATTCTCTAGACTTCTCTTCCCATTTCTGAATGAGATCATGGCTTCTTTCTTCCACTCGGTTCACAAACTCTTTCGACTTTTCTTCCACATTCTTCACTTTTTCTTTCATTTTGTCCACCTGGTTCTGAAAGCGGTATTTCTTCTCCTGGTAAACATGAAAACAAATAATTTTGTTCCGGGTCCTGCTAGTTCAAGACTATATTGCTCCAGATTATAGAGGGTACAGACAAACCATCACATTGGGGGAGAAGGGAATAACTGTTATCTGTCTCCAGTAGGCATGCAGCCTGTTTTGAAATTGTGGCCTCTTTATCCTCTTTATGAAGTGGTATAAATCCAGCACTGCAGCTGTTGGGTAGATGGCTAGTATAGCAGAAGCATGATGGGGTGACTAGTACAACATAGTACTTTAAGTAAGACTCTCAACCTGAGCCAACCTGCTGGCTTTAGGTGTAGTGGAGGATGCTGTCATGGACAGTATTGAACTACAGTCCAATTGCGTGTCTGTTGGGTGTCTCTACATGGAATGGAGGACTACCATCTTTTGCTACCCCAGATGCTTACCCAAAGGCATAAGGCAAGGAAGCAAACTGAACTTTGGAAAAACAACTTACGATTTATTTATTAGTCTTTCGGACAACTTGTGGCTACACAAACCATTGCTTAACTTTATGTGTGAACCAGGCTACTGTTTATCTTTGATACTGGTCAGGTCTTTCATTCTGTTCACTGCTGCTGTGCTCTTTTTAATCCCTTGTACTTATTAAACACACGTGGCTTTAGTTTTTTGATACTTCTGAGTATTTTAATAGCAAAGCTGTTTTGGAAACACTATAAATAATTTCATCTTTTATTAAGCAACAGTTGCCAGCCAAATATGCCTGAGAAGTTTGCATGATGGGCATGAGGGCAACAGCATGCTGTTTCCCACCAGAATCAGGTATTCAGAGGCATACTGATTCTGATCATGGAGGTTCCATTTAGCTATCTTGGCTGATAGGAAAGGCAGAACTGTGTGAGGAGCTTCGGGTAGGTGGAACCAATGGAAGGTGTTGTGTCTCAGTTTAGTGGATAGAATTTGGTACTTGCATTCAGTTTTCTCAGTCTAGAATGATGGCTGACTGTAGACATTGGGCTGATGAAGAGCCGAGTGAATATATATGGGCTTCCTAGACCTTGTCCCTGTTCTGGCATGTCCCTCTTCTGGGCAGAAGGTGGGTTATAATCCAATTTCGACGTTGAACATGACTTAAGAGACCAATGTACTTACATTAATAAAGCTGACATTCAACTCCTTAGCGGTGTATCCCCTCTGGAGGTTGCGACGGGCATAGACATCATAATCACGTACAATTCTCGTAATAATATCTGAAGTTGATATGCCCTCAGTTCTCTGAGTTGGTACAAACATTCCTGATTAGAAAGGAAAAAGAAAAAGAGCAATGATTATTCTCCAACTTCCATATAAGAATCATTTGTTTAAGAATGGCCTCATTCTGGCCCTTTATTTTTTTATTTTATTTAAACACTTGCCAAACTATCTGCCCAATTCGGGACATCATGTATTTGTTTGTTTGTTTGTTTATTGAATTTCCTTGAATGCTTGAGCAATCAAAAGGACAAGTAAAAATTTGCTTATTTCTAATCTTCTGTTCTCCAGTAAGGCAAATCTTGGAACAATAACCTGAGTGGTATCCTCTACAAAGCTCAGGGATGGAACTTTAAATACTTTCTCTTTGGCACTGTTAATCGTGCTGATAACAACTTAAATTAAAGAGATTTCTGTCATCACACGGGAACTTAATTTGTTCTCTTGGGATCAATATTGACCCCAATAAAGATAGTGGAAAGATGCCAATTCTCCTTAAGAGGATGTAGTGTGAGTTCACTGTCTCACATAAAATTCAGAAGATTCTGTGTAGAAACTAGCCTACTGTTCAAGGGCAAAATTTACACTTGTTGCTCTGGCCACTTTATCCTCTAGCCTCTGTGGCCCCTGGAATGTGGCCCAGAAGGGAATGTGGCCCTCAGTCTAAAAAAGGTTGCCCACTTTAAAAACACGTAGTTATAGAATAAACTGGCACCCACCTGCTTCCTTTATATGCTTGTAAACATCATCTGAACCAGCAGAAGAATATGGAATGTCATCATGGGCTACAAAATCAATCTGGAATACATGGGAAAATGAAGAAATGAAATTAGGTTGACCCTTGATAAAGGCTTGGTTGCTAATTTTAAAGCATAACTTATTTACTTGCTTTTACCAGCTCTCCTATGAACTTAAAGAAATATGCATTGCAGTAATAACCTAAGACATTTTAGGCTATTGTTAATTGGTGGTTGCGATTAATATGTAGCACATGAGATTATAGTTTAATTATGAACCTTTCTTTTAGAGTAATGCTTTATATTTGTGTAAGTGATACCAATAAGGAACCTGAAGCTGGCTACAGTCACTTCCACACATCCTATCACTTGCACATATTAGCTCAGCAATGAGACATGTTTCACCCTCCAGGTGGGTGTTGGACTACAACTCCCATCAGCCCCAACCAGCATGGCCAGTGGTCAGGGATGATGGGGGTTGCAGTCGAACAACACTTGGATGGCCACAGGTTTCCCATGCCTCAGTTAGCTATTATGTTAAAATCAGTGAACTTGCTGAAGGAAAAGTATTTCACAATATCTGAGAGTGCTTGCTTGAAAACGCAAAGCCGCCACTAAATTGGGGCTATTCCAAAAACGTGGAGTGACCACCTACGGTAACATTATTGGCCATGATCTATTGTTATTGCTGAGCAGTGTTTTTAGTGCAAAAGCATTCTGTATTAGTTAAGGCCAGGTAGTTAGTCTTGTCATTCAACTTACTGGAAATTTCCCAAATTTTCTTGGATGTGCTACAGTAACATTTAAGCCTATGCACTCGGTGTACACAGGTAACTTTGCGCATCAAGCTCTTGAGTCATTAGACTACACTGTTTGAAGCAATCCCAAATTTATGTACTACAATACCTACAGAAAATCAATTTTAATAACCCCATGACTTTAAATAGATCAGAAGTTTTAAACGTATGCATGTTTAAATTTGTGCCAAACACTGCTCCTTGTAAAACAAGGGAGTGTGAAGGGGTCTCAGTTGCTTTTCCAGTCCCCAATGAGCCCTCAATCCACTTATCTATCTGCTTCTGCTTCTTTCTCTTTCATCATTTTTTTTATTTCTTTCTTTGTTTGGTGGTGACAGAAAGAGAGTGAGGCCTCATTTCCTGCTCCCTTCACATGCACTTGAAATGCCCCCTGGGAAAATGAGGATTCCACCCAACCTTAGCACCTGCATCACCACCATAGTAGCATCTCAAGGAAAGTAGAGGGGAGGAAAGAGATCCCTTGCTGCTGCTGCCATTGCCACAGCCAAGTATGGGAGGTCAAAGAGGAGTGGGAGTTAATTTCTAGCTTGGATTACAGTTTGAGCCAGAAAGGAAGTAAGAGAAGGAGGGAAATGGCCCAGTTCAGAAGAGTGGCATGCTTTATATGCATGCCAGATTCATGTTCTAAACAAAAGTCAGCAACCTCATTAAGCTTCCCCACCCCCCTTCCTCATCTGTTGAACAAGGAGAGAAAGGCACCTTATGTTTTTCCAGAAACTCGGGTGTGAGTGTCCACGGAGCATCTCTGATTACTTCATCAACGTAGCGGCAGTGTCTGAGGGCCTCATACCTCTCTGCTTCATTCATTACAGTGAAGCCTTTAAACTCGTGGGTTAGATCATCACTGCAAACTGACATACGCACATGAAAAAATCAGAACAGAACAACACAGGCTCTGTAAAATGTAGCACACCTGTTTGGTTAGAAATTCTTCAAAGCTAACTTTTCTCAGTTAAATTGTCAAACTACGGTAAATCATACTTGTTGATGACTGTGAAATTAAAACAAAACAACCCCCCAAATAGATGTTACAAATAAGATGTAATGAGAGATGGTTGCATCAACTCTGCGCCTTGATACAGGCTAATCAAAGGCGATTGGGCTGCAGTTCAAATTATCTGGCAGCACAACTGGAAAAGAATCAGATTATCTGATTACATGCACCATGTACAGTAGGCCAGCATGCCTAAGGCATAAGACATCTGAAGGCAGCCCTGTTTAGGGAAGCTTTTAATGCTTAATAGGTTATTGTATTTTAGTGTTCTGTTGGAAGCCGCCCAGAGTGGCTGCGGAAACCCAGCCAGATGGGTGGGGTATAAATAAATAAATAAATAAATAAATATTATTTGCATTTAACTTGTGCTCATTGAGCTTTAAGCACTTCGCAAAATAAATAAAAAATGGGGCAGAAGGGGGGGTGGCATCCGGGGGGGGACTTTGGCAATCCCACCCACCCACCATTGCACTAAGTGTGTTTTGACTATATTCAATTTTGGTTTCCCAGGAATGTAATCCCTGCTTAAATAGCAGGTCTCTTGTAATTTGAAATCAGCAATAGCTCCATGTGTCTTTTCTGCCATAATTAGACTTTTCTAAAACTCACTTAGCCATCTGAGGCTCAGTTTGAGATATATTTATGGGTCTCTTAGCTTCCTTTCCACTACAAGTACTGCTATACTTCAATGCCAGCAACTGGTGAACAAAGTAGTATTATGCTCCAGCACAGAAGCTTGGATAAGATGGTTTTCAGTGCACCTCATGCTATCACGATAGTTCTATGAGATTTAAGAAAGAAGAATCAGAAACTGATTCTTGATTAAATCTTAATTTAAAATTCTTCCTGATTTAGTTCCCATCAGATCTGAGATTAACTACCGTACATCCACAGCCAATAATGTACTTGCATTGGGGTGGAATTAAATACACATTAAATGGAGATCAGATCAAAGGCATAAGGTTCAAGATCCCATTTCTCACAGTGGCTAAACAGATGCCTAAGGCAGTGTTTCCCAACCAGTGTTCCGCGGCACACTAGTGTGCCGCGAGACGTTACCTGGTGTGCCGTGGGAGGGAGGCGGGCGCTTTCTCGTTCGCGCCCTGCAGCGAGAAGGGCAGCGCAGCGCAGCGCCGCAGAAGAGGCCCAGGAGGCAGCAGGCGCCCAGCGCACGCCCGAGTCCCGCCCAGCTCGCCATGTCCGCCCGCAGCATTGGCGACCCGAGCCAGGCTCCGCGCGCGACGCCCATCTTATGGCGCGCGCCTCTGTCGAACGCTCAGCCCCGGCGCGAGCGGCTTAGCAACGCCGTCCAATCAGGGCGCATCTCGGCTGGGCGGCCGCGGCATTCTGGGAAATGTAGTCCTCAGGCAGCAGCGGCATTCTGAGAAGGCGCGCTTCTTCGCCGCTGCGCCTTTTCTTCCTCATTCCTTCTTTGCTGGCAACGCAAAAAGAGGCGGAGGAGGAAGAGCTGCTGGAAATGCCTGCGTGGGCATCGGCGCCCCCTTTCGCTGCAATAAGACTCCGCTAAAAACTGCAGTTGGGCAAGCTTTTGTTCCACCCTCGTTTGAACTGCGTTTGCAAAGGCTCTTCCACACCATGATAAACAAAATCCCACTCTCACTTTTTTACAAAATCTGTGAGTTTATGCTTTAATGGCTTTGATGGATTTTGTTAGCCCCTTAAAAACACACACAGAGAGAGACTAAGCCACTTCAGATTGCCAAATTCTTTGTTTTCAGTCATCCTTACCACTCCGTACCCTTTGATGCGAAAGGATTTATTTAGGATCCTGCATATTTTCATAATTTTGAAAGCACTTTAAAAGTATAATGCAAACAAGCAGTTAGGAGCCTTTGCTGAAACCCAGAAACCTCCGCCACGAACAGATGTAATTTTGAACATACCATGCAGCAAAATCCACCGGCAATGAGGGCTGATTAAAACTTGTACTTTTGCACATTCTGTATCATGACTTTGACATCCTAGTACAAATTACTAGGGGCTGTCAATAGGTTTAAGTAAGCATGAGGCCGTTGTGGTCACACATTAAATTCTTATATTCTGGAATATAAGAATTGTGGAGGAGGTGTTTTACGCCCTCAAAACAGCAGGTTCACATCCTGGAAACACTCCTGGTTCTAGATTAACATACCAATATGAGTCCAGTTTTGGGAAATTCACTTTAAGGATCTTCTGGTGGATGAGAGGCACTTTAGCACTCTCTCCCCAAAACCCTATAATTAGGATTAAGGCACTTTTGTGGGGATTGCTTAATTTCGTTGTGGGCGCTTTGATACGGTTTCTTATGAGTGCATTTGGGTAATTATGTAAATATTGCCATGTCGTAAGCCGCCTCGAGCATGGTTTTTAACTATGGAAACAGCATGCAAATGATGATGATATCTAGGGAGGTTTCAAAGGCTTTGTAAGCAGAGTGAAGGAAAGAAATCCAGATGTGATTGTTACGCATTGTTTTTTGCACCGTGAGGCCCTCGTAGCCAAGACTTTACCAGCAGACCTAGTTCATGTGTTGGATGATGTTGTGCGCATGGTAAACAGGCCCAGGTTGCGCACTGAATAAAGTATTTTATAATTTTTCATATTTCTGTTTACTTACTATTTCATGATAAAGTAATTATAAAATACTATCTTTGTGTTTATTTGATTCCTATTAAAGAGAGTTACTTTATATATAGTCAATATAGGCACAGAGTTAATTTTTTAAACATTTTCTAATGGTGGTGTGCCTCGAGATTTTTTTCATGAAACAAGTGCGCCTTTGCCCAAAAAAGGTTGGGAAACACTGGCCTAAGGGAAGTTCAAAAGCTCAACATGTGGGCAGTAGCTTCCTCCTCCTGCTGTTTCAAAGTGTTTTGCCTCTGGGTGGGTTCAAACTAGCAACCTCCTGAGCATGCTTGTAAAGACTGCATCACAGATATAATCAACCCAATGATAATATTTGTTCAAATGCTGGCCTTACCTCCTACCAACAAGTAGCTATTAGGAAACAGAGTTTTGGCTTGCATAAGAGCTCTAGCATGGCCAGCATGGAAGAGGTCGAATATTCCATCTGCATAGACTCTGACAGGTCTGTCCACTGTGAGGGCAAGGAAAAAATGTTCAGGTCAAAGCAGAACTGTACCTCAAATCTGTGTCAGACTACTGTGAGGTATTGTTGGCTACATATATTCAAAATAAAAAATGGGTATATTCAAGCACCCCTATTCCCAAATTTGGTGAATTAGTCCAGATTAGGACAAAAGAACAGAAGAAATGTAGAAATAAGCTACCAGGCTGAAGAATTTACGTAAGTTATGTGTACATCATTGGACCATATGTATATAGCAGAGCTAAAATGCAGAACTCTCCTAAGATGTGAAGTATATACAGATTTTTTTAAAAAACCACTAACAATAATACTTCCTTGTAGAAGATTTCAGATATTTGGTGGTTTGCTTTAATATCAGCATGTCACTGCTGCTTAGTGAGTTTCTAGCTAAGATAGAAGTTGCTCGCTTTCACCCCAACGATTTATGATAGGGTCAAATTTTATTCCCCACTGTCCATATGCTCTGTCTATATAAATGTACTCTCTGTAATCTACAAACAGACAAATGCATACATTATAATGACTATCTCATATTAGATTTATGTCAGCATTCACACACTGACAATTCCAGACCAATATTGCGACTGTCAGTTTTCACTGGTACAAGTTGGAAGCATGGGAAATACATCTAATATATGTGATCTACAAGTAGCAAACTTTCTTCCTTGTCCATGAAAAGAAAACTGTGCTTACAGGAAGACTCATTCCCTAAACTTAACTCTCCTGAAAATACAGTATAATGGACTGAAAAATATTGGATCCAAACCTCTTTTTCTACCTAAATACAGTCACAAAATTCAGCTGAGGTTGTCAGCACTTACAGATATCTCACCTTTCACTTTTTTTTTACTTTAACACAGGTACAATAAAAAGCATGTGCAGCAATTGACTAAACAATTAAATAAACAACTAAGCAATTAAATAAACATCTTTTACGTTTTTTCTGTAAAACTCTTAATCAACGTGCAAGGGCAAGTATCAAAGCTGTATACCATGAAATTGATTTATATTTCATAAATCCAGAAGACTCACCTGGTGTTCCAAGGCGGGCCTGGGCAATAGTTAGCTTCTCATGGGGAGCTTTGCACTGGCAGCTTGTATCACCTGCAAATGGAGCCGGTGCAGACAAAGTCTAGAGAGAGGGAAGGGTAGATCGGGGTAGGGTGGGGTGGGGTGGACCAAAACATATTGTTAATTATTGCTCTGTGCATGACCTTTTTGCTCATTGTCATCACACAGAAGCACTTGATATGGGAACAAAGTATGTTGTTTCAGTCTTGAAGAGAAGTGCATATATATTTTTTAACATCCTAGAAGGAGTTTGTTTTTAGTCCAGCTTTTGGAAGTATGCATGCCAATTTCAAGTCACCATCTCACTCACTTCAGGCTGTGAGCAAGAGAGGCTTCATTCTTAGGATGCTGGTTACAATAGATATTTTCCCCATGTTTGCTTCTTCTGTACAGCTGTCAATATAGTAAAACTGGCATCTTTCAGAGGTACGCTACACACCAGAGTATTTCTGAAGATAGCTTTAGAAGAACAAAACAAAGCTAACAGCCAAGGATTTTAAGGCATGGGTAACCAAGGTGGTAGCCTTCAGATGTTGCTGGACTACAATTCCCATCAGCCCCAGACAGCATGGCCAATGAACAAGAAGGATGGGAGTTGTAATCCAACAGCATCTGGAGGGCACCATTTAAGGCAGAGCTTTTCAAACTTTTCATGTTAGCTACACACTTTTTAGACATGCATTATTTTGCGGTACAGTAATTCAGTTTTACTAGCAAACCAGGGTTAAACTAACCACTTTCCAGTCCTGGGAGGAGTGTGGGGAGTGTTTGTGTGACACACCTACACACTGCAGCTGACACCCTAATCATGTGCTGTGACACACAGTTTGGAAAGCTCTAATTTAAGGTCTTGTTAGAGACAAATATTAAGGGTTGTGTCCAGGGGCGTAGGAAGGGAGGAGGTGGGGGAGGACCGCCTTGAGTGCCCTCACTGAGGGGGGTGACATTTGACTTGCCGCCCGTCCTCGACTCCCAAGACTACCCAGAGCCGTCGGGGTAAGGAGGGGAGCTGTGTCGTTTTGCCGGCGGCATTCCCCCCTTCCCCCTTTGTTTTAACAGCTTGGGGGAGGCTTGGGAGTCACGGGCAGGCGGCACACCGAATGTCCGCCATGGGCGGCTCGCTCCGCCCCTGGCTTCAGGGCGCGCACACTGCTCCGGGCCCCCGAGTGGCAATAACAACAACAATAACAACAACAACAATGTATTATTTATACCCCATCCATCTGGCTGGGTTTCCCCGCCACTCTGGGCGGCTTCCAACAAAATATTAAAATACAATAGTCTGTTAAACATTAAAAGCTTCTCTAAGCAGGGCTGCCTTCAGATGTCTTCTAAAAGTCTGGTAGTTGTTTTTCTCTTTGACATCTGAAGGGAGGGCGTTCCACAGGGCGGGCGCTACTACTGAGAAGGCCCTCTGTCTGGTTCCCTGTAACCTCACTTCTCGCAATGAGGGAACCGCCAGAAGGCCCTCAGCACTGGAACTCAGTGTCCGGGCAGAACGATGGGGGTGGAGACGCTCCTTCAGGTATACTGGACTGAGGCTATTTAGGGCTTTAAAGGTCAGTACCAACACTTTGAACTGTGCTCAGAAACGTACTTTCCTGCGCCTGGGAGGGCACCCTCTGCACCACGCCCCCCTTGGGAACATGCCCAACCTGGGCAGCGTGGGCATATGCTCCGCTGCTGGTTGTGTCCAATGGCAGTGTCAACAGAAGGCAGCTTGCACAACCAATTATTTTCTATTCCCCTTCTTGTGCCTGGAGCTCCTTGTAACACCAAAAAACCTTTCCAGAAGGCAGGGGGGTTAACAGCAGAGGATGTGTCTTAACCATCAATGCTTTCCCCTATTTCTTGTTAATTTGGAGATATGCTTTGATGGGTGAATTTGCTGCCCAGAAAAACCAACAGTTCTGCCCAACAGGGACTGGGAATAAACTGGGCTTGCCCATACACACATCCTCTTCAAGAGTCCACACCCTTTTCCTCAATATGATTTTGTCCTAGAGAGCTCCAGACAAGGTAACCAACTTTGTGGCATATTTCTCCTCCACGAGCTGTTCACAGCAACACAAATGAAAATAATTGCTACTGTTCTTTCAGACAAGAGAAGGATTACAAGCCCTTGATCCTTCCTGTTTGGGGTGTGATTTACTATAGAAAATCACAATTTTTCTTGCTTATGTTTTCAAAGCAGTCCTTTAGGAACAGAAAGCTTTCTTAACAAGAACCAGATACATCCCATTCTAGACTTGATATTTCAACTCTACATTGACTTCTGGGAGCCATTCCATTGGGCCTGAATAGCTGCTTAAGAAGGGATATCATTTTCTAATAAATGATGACGAGGGTCAGTCTAGACATTCTGCATTTTTAGATGATGCGAACCAGGAGCACTGTACCATGTGATTTTCCTCAAGTGCATTGTTTAGCTTTTAATCCCAATAAAATCTATGGCCCAGATGAGAAGAGCTAGTGCTGTCTTTCCGTGCACTAAAATATTTCTGTCTATTCCAGAGCTCTGGTGTCATATCATATCCTTTAACTGCTCTTTAAAAGTCTTGAGAGCCATAAAAGAGAATTGAATAATTAGGGCAAAGAAAACATCTTGTTCATTACCACTGCTATCTGTTACATAAAAGTAGGGAAAGTAACATTAAAGGGATTTTTAAGCGTGTAAAATCTGTTACATATACCTAGTACTACTACTTCTGATGTGTAATGTACACTTAAATCAAACTTTAAGGGTTGGGTTTTGTGGAAACTGACTGACCACGTAGTACAGTGCTTCCTTTTTATTATATATGATCATACAGTCTGGGCTTTTCCCTATATTTTCTAATCACTGTCTTTTCCCCTTGTGTCTTTGTAATAGTTGAGTGCTTAACTGCCTTTTTATTTCTAAGCAAGGTCAAGTTACACAACATCCAGTCCAATGTGGTTCACGCTGGGATAAAGAGGAAGGTAGAGATGTTAAAACAATAATGGCTATGGTCCCACGCCTAGAAGATGATAATCTTGACTTTGCTAGTAAAAGGCTGTTTCCTGGGAGATAACCTAAAGAAAATAGACCTGTTTTGTGGTCATTTCTCTGCCCCTCCCCCCGTCCCCACTCTTGCATCTCTTTCCTTGCTTGGTAGAATAGGGAAAGCTTTTTGATTATGGATGCTTGGGAATTCTGAAAGACCTTCCTTTGCCACCCACTGAACAGTTTATGCTAGCATTATAGCTTATCAGAGGGAATAGTCTTCAAGCCTTTAGCTTCAAAGTTTTCTTAATGCTTCCCATTGCTCTGGCTAGTGCTGCACAAAAGTTTGCAGCAACCAGTACTTTATTATCTGGAAGGATCCAGACTGAGTTCTAGCTCAGAGCCTGATGCTGGTCATCATGGGACCACTGAACCTAAGGCTTCTCTGAACCAGGACACATAGAACCTGAGTTAGGGTCCTCACAGGTGAATATCCCTAAGCCAGAGGAACTCCCACGCTCCCTTGCATACCCTCCAACATTTCTCCAATGAAAATAGGGACATCCCATTCCATAATGATAATTTTATTATTTATAAAGGTAAAGGTACCCCTGACCATTAGGTCCAGTCGCGGACGACTCTGGGGTTGTGGCGCTCATCTCTCTCTATAGGCTGAAGGAGCCAGCGTACAGCTCATGTGGCCAGCATGACTAAGCCGCTTCTGGTGAACCAGAGCAGCACATGGAAATGCCATTTACCTTCCCGCCGGAGCGGTACCTATTTATCTACTTGCATCTGACATCCTTTCTAACTGCTAGGTGGGCAGGAACTGGGACTGAACGTGAGCTCATCCCGTTGCGGGGATTCGAACCGCCGACCTTCTAATCAGCAAGCCCTAGGCTCTGTGGTTTAGACCACAGCCCCACCCGCATCCCACACATTTTACTGGGTTGCCCCAGCCACTCTGGGCAGCTTCCAACATATAGAAAAACATTAAAAAATTTTTTTTAAACTTCACTATGCAGAATTGCCTTCAGACAGCTTGGGGTTCAGATAACTCCATACCCTCCAACATTTCTCTAATGAAGATAGGGACATCCTAAGGAAAAGTTGGACATTCTGGAATCAAATCAGAAACCGGGACGGCTTCTCTAAATCAGGGACGTCCTTTGAAAATAGGGACACTTGGAGGGTCTGCCCTTGCAGGTTTAGTGGCACTGGGAGTGCACCAGGTAGGAGGTCATGGAATGCAGAAGGACTTCACACTTTAAGGGACTTTTGTTCCCCAAAAGGGGATGACACCAAGGGTAGGTGGACTGGAGGCAGAGGCACAAAAGGCCTTCATTCATTTCCAATTCTGATCTAAGCTATTCCAGTTGCCTTGCTCCATAAGCTCCCTCTGCTGGTCTGCAACAGGACACAAGTTCTCTCATCACTCCAGTGAGCAACACTGCAAGCCTATACCTGTCTACTCAGATTGAAGTCCCACCAAATTCAAGTGGACTTACTCCCACATATGTAACTTTGCATAGATTGCAGCTTAAAACACATGAGTTCAACTCACAAAATCTCTGGGTGTACATAGGGGATATGAATTATCTCAAGGAAGAAAAATGGAAAACAATGTTCTACTTTTTTATCTAAAAAAATGCTTATATTCTGCCCTTTTGGTATCTACCTTATTCTTGCTTCCACTTTGGGTTGAATGTGTGGCTCTACTACACCTGATTAGAAACTGTCATCCAGCACCAAGGGCCTTCTGGCGGTTCCCACACTGCAATAAGTGAAGCTACAGGGAACCAGGCAGAGGGCCTTCTTGGTAGCTGCGCCCACCCTGTGGTATGCCCTCCCATCAGTTGTCAAGGAGATGAGGAATTATATATATTTTAGGAGACCTCTGAAGGCAGCCCTGTATAGGAAAGCTTTTTAAGGTTTAATTTTACTATGTTTTCATATATGCTGGAAGCTGCCCAGAGTGGGCAGGGTACAAATAATAAAATATTATTATTATTATTGAATTTATATATTGTCCTATACCTGGAGATCTCAGGGCGGTTCACAGAATAAAATCAAAATATAAAACCACAAAATATATAATCAAAATAAAAACAACTACCCAATAACACACACACACACATACCCCGGCAAAACCCACATTTTAAGAGGGCATAGGATGACAATCAAATCAACCAAAGGCCTGGTTAAAAAGGAATGTTTTTGCCCGGCACCTAAAGGCATATAATGAAGGCACCAGATAAATTTCCCTGGGGAGAGCATTCCACAGACGGGGAGCCACTGCAGAGAAGGCCTGTTCTCATGTTGCCACCCTCTGGACCTCTTGAAGAGAAGGCACACGAAAGAGGGCCTCAGAAGATGATCCCGGCGTCCAGGTAGGTTCATATGGAAATAGACAGTCATTGAGGTATTGTGGTCCTGAGCCATTTAAGGCTTTATAGGTCAAAGCCAGCACTTTGAATTGGGCCCAGAAATTAATTAGTAGCCAGTGCAGTCGGACCAGGATCAGTGTAATATGCTCAATCTGTCTTGCTCTGGTGAGCAACCAGGCTGCTGAATTCTGCACTAGCTGAAGTTTCTAAACTGTCTTCAGAGGCAGCTCTACATATAACACATTGCAGTAATCTCACCTTGAGGTTACCAGAGCATAGACAACAGTAGTTAGGCTATCCCTGTCCAGATAGGGGCAAAGCTGGGCCACCAGCTGAAGCTGATGGAAGGCACTCCGGGCCACTGAAGCCACCTAAAGCCTCGAGTGATAGCAAGGGATCCAGGAGTACCCCAAGCTACAAACCTGCTCCTTCAGAGGAAGTGTAACCCCATCAAGAGCAGGTGATCTCCCACCCATCGGGTCTAGGGAACCACCCACTAACGGTACCTCAGTTTTATCTGGATTGAATTTCAGTTTGTTGGCTCTCATCCAGTCTATTACTGAGGCAAGACACTGGTTCAGCACTTCCACTGCCTCACCTGCAGATGTAATGGAGAAATAGAGCTGAGTGTCATCAGCATACTGCTGACAACATCCTCCAAACCTCCAGATAACCCCACCTAGCGGTTTCATGTAGATGTTAAACAATGTGGGGGGTAGGACTGAGCCCTGAGGAACCCCACGGTGAAGGTTCCATGGGGCTGAAAAGCATTCCCCAAGCAACACCCTCTGGGAACGACCATCCCAGTAGGACTGGGACCACCACAAAGCGATGCTGCCCACCTCTAGTTCAGACAGTCGCTCCAGAAGGATACCATGGTCAATGGTATCGAAAGCCACTGAGAGGTTGAGAAGAATTAACAGGGACATGTTCCCTTGTCTCTTTCTTGACAGAGGTCATCACACAGGGTGACCAAAGCAGTTTCTGTGCCAAAACCAAGCCTAAACCCCAACTGAAATGGATCCAGAAAATCAGTTTCTTCCAAAAGTGCCTGGATCTGGTCTTTTGTAAGTGGTATATAAATTTTGTTAAATAACTAACTACGCGACTGATAATGAAGTACTTTGTTAGTGCATTGCCTATAAACTTCAAAGCTCCCAGCTTTGAAGTTCTGAAATTCATAGGACAGGGATAGCTAACATTGTGCCCTCCAGATGTTGTTGGGCTATATGGGAGCTGTTGTCCACCACATTAGCTACCTCTGTCATGGGGTGTGCCTTTCTCTTGTGACTATGCCCCCTCAGATTTTGTGTGGCAAACTCCTTGTGTGAAAGCACTTCCATGTGAAATCAACCTAATTGAATAAAGCTCACAACTTCAGTGTTTCTCTGGCAACCATCTAAATATTCTTATATACATATCCGCAGCACCACTAGAGCTAGTGTGAAGACTAAATGTTGGATTTCACTTCCCACAAGCCCCAGGAAGAATGGCCAATTGTAATAGATGGGGGGATTGCAGTTTTTAAACTGAATCTAACATTAGAGGGGGAAAGCTTATACAATTCTGTATTCCTTATTTGTTTTCCAATTCTTTTTTTATCTGATAGGGTTATTGTAGGCCATTTGCTCCTGTAGACCTTGCTTCAGTGAGCAGGGAGGGGAGGGAGCCTTGTAATTTTCTGATCCTTTTGAGTTTAGAGGCCCAGAATCAGTTGGCACGGGAACTCTTTCAGAATCCTACTAGTTCTTAATGTTGCCTATATTCTGAGGGTTTCAAACACAGACCGCAATTTTCATGTGGGGTGATTTCAATCAAACAACTCCAATATACAGTGGTACCTCTGGTTACGTACTTAATTCGTAGCGGAGATCCGTTCTTAACCTGAAACTGTTCTTAACCTGAAGCACCACTTTAGCTAATGGGGACTCCTGCTGCCGCCGTGCCACTGGAGCACAATTTCTGTTCTCATCCTGAAGCAAAGTTCTTAACCCAAGGTAATATTTCTGGGTTAGCGGAGTCTGTAACCTGAAGCGTCTGTAACCTGAAGTATCTGTAACCCGAGGTACCACTGTATGTACAAAGTCATTTCCTGCATTGTCCTATTTATTCTCTACCACTTCAATAAATGTTTCTTACTGAATCCTAACCAAATGAAAGCTGTATTTTCTTGAGCCTTGCTAACAGCACATTTATTTCATGCAGGACTTAGATTATGGATAGGAATACATACAGTCCCACCATATGCTTATTTTATAAGTTAAAGTGTTCCATAAATCTTGATTCACACAGTGTCACTCCTGTCTTTCATTCAAAACGCTGTGGAAATTGAAAACAAGCTCTGGTAATATTAATATAGTTCTTGAAGCAATAAACATTCCCAGATGAATGCTACAACAATAGGCAAAATGCATATGCAAGTACCAAGTTCACACTAGACCTGGTTCAAATCCGCACTCAGCCATGAAGCTCACTTGGTAATTTTGGGCCAGTCAATTTCTCTTGGCCTAATCTACATCATAGAGTTGTTGTGAGGATAAAATGGGAACAGGGAGAACTATATATGCCACCTTGAGCTCCTTGCAGGAAAGGCAGGATATAAAGAAACAATCAATCAATCAATCAATCAATCAATATATTATTTTCATTCTTCTTGTCTGATGATGGGATTCTAATATATTCCAGGATATTTTTGTTGTGCATGAGGTTTCAACAGGAAACTCTTTAATAGTTATCATAAGCACATTTCAATGCAAAATGTCTGTAACCGTCTCCATGCTTTAAACAAAACATTTTTTTAAAAACCCCCAACTCATCCCTATTAAAAAGTTAATTTAAGTCACGTTCATCAATTATTATGGAATTTTAATAGCGTCTAAAATAGAAAGTTGAATGTAAGCATTAAATGATTGTTTAAACACTGGTAAAAAATCAAAGTTATTATTCCATTTCAGTGTTAAATAGTCTCCATGGGAAAGTATTAAACTACTGCCTACGTCACAGTGACAGCTTGGCAAATTGGCTGCCTGAGTTTTGCTTTCTCAGGAGGCAGTGATGGGAGTGATTAAACTACTTTTTAGGAAGCGAAAATGGGGGAAAGTATTTATTGCTATGGAAAACAGTATGCAGCCCCCAGGGTACTTCGTATTAGATTGCTGGGGCATGGTTAGGATGAAGCTAGATATCCTTTTCATGTACCCATCACAGAATAAGTAGCACTGGCTCCCAGGTAAGTTGGCCTAGTAGTGTAGCTTACTTACTTTTGGAAGTAAACCCAATCCTATTCACATACATCAGAGGCCATTTCCCTACCCTTCCTAATTATAATCTGCTAGTGCACTCATCTCTTACAATGCAAACCTTTCATAGTAGCTCTTATAGTATCTCAAGCATAACTTATGGAATGAACAACTTCAGAGAATCACCAAGCTGAACTCTTTATCCCCCCCCCCTTATAAAAAATCTGAGAAAAAATTTTGATTGATACAAAATGTATATGTGAAACAATGGTAATGAAAATATTCAAAGTGGGTGCTGGTCTAATTCAGAACAGCATCCATGCAGTGAGGAAGGGATGCTTAATTCTATATGCAGCTAGCTTCCTTACAAACACAATTTCTATAGATTAATTACTGAAGAATTGCAGATTTTTCTCCTAATGCTACTGTCCCAACTCATATGCTCTCAACTGCTTGAAAGTAATATCATCCATTTTGTGCACACTGGAATCCCTGAAAACCAAAACAAAAAGTGAGATCTGTTACATTCTTTTCCAGTGTTTCTCTAAAAGGCAGTTTTTGCTTTTTTTGATGGTTAAATCCCTTCTTCCCTGCCATTTCAGTTTTTAAATCAGCAGAAAGGCAAAGAACAGGCAAGGAGTAAAGGAAGAGTTCTGTTGCAATCTGAACCTAACAAAGGGATGGGGAAAGCACCATTTTTTATTTTATTTTTGCATAGCTTGAGACACTCAGTTGAAAGAGAGAAACATGCAGCAATCCCTAAATTGTCTTTCTTAATGCAGTAGATATAATTAATACTTTGTAATACACATTTTCACAATATAGACAATAAACACAAAGAGCTAAAATGGATGAAGCTGTTTTCTAATTTCTATTCAGGCTATAAAGTACTGATTTCATTACATCCTAATAAGACAAAGAGCTCAAATAAATGTATCCTTTTGTCTCTTACTTACCAGTCGAGGCTGAGGACATGTGTGTTCTATCTCCTCCATGGTTTCTGAAGGAAGCTCATTAGAAAGGGATGTTGGGATACCTGTTTCTGACTCAGCATTAGTTGCAAGCACTGGCATGGCCAGTGAATGCTGCTTGCGGTGATGCCCTCTCTGCTATTCTCTTCTCAGTCAGATAATGTTTTCCTTTCTCATGTAATTCTCTCCCCCGCCTTCTCCCCCTTCGCTTCTTTTCCTTCCCTTGAGAAATTAAAGGTTTTTCTTTCAAGGAGAAGCCAAGAGGCAAGGCCTCAGTTTATCACTATAACAACCAGCTAGCAACAGAGCAGCTGGTACAGGATACAGTATTCTGATTTGCATGGTGCTTTCTGGTTGGTTCCTGTCATCATAGTACCACTTTAACTGAGTTATGTGATATATACTGGGAGGCGGGCTGATATGAACGCCAGCAGAACATCTCTCTCCCTCACCCCTCTTTATATGGTGCTTTTGTAGTTTTTGGTACAAACACAGATGTATTTATGCATTATACAAATCTCCTTCAAAGCTTTATTGCAAAATATATATCTACATGGCTATATCTTTTCTGATTTTGCAAAAACAAAAAGCAGTCTTTATTTATCTGAAGAATATTGGTTTAAGACTTAATATTCTATTTCAGTACGCATTTGGATGCATGACCTGCTTTATTTTTCCTGAATTAAATGTGCTAATTGCTCATACACATTTGGATGCCCAGTATATACATACATCTAATTTAGGATTTTGCACATTCCAGACCAGTACTAACAATCAGCATGGTGAGGCAAAACAGATTACTTACAGCCACCTCTCGGTAAGTAACCTAACCCTCTTATCAGGCCAACTCTCACACAGTTTTTACATAGTTAAATCAACATGGGTGGACTTTTCCTTTGAATGCTGACATGTTAAACTGATCTGATGAATGATTTCATGTCCAACCACAATATTCTAATATGATTTCCTTCCCAAAGACCTTTTAGCGTTTGGAAAATTATGAGCTAGATCACTCAACAGTCCAGATCAAACTTGGCAAAATAATGCAGTCTTGACACGGAAAAATTTACATTCGTGTGTACAAATATTAGCAGTGTTGAGGTACTGAAAGGACAGCTCCTCAGATAAATAGTATTCATGTGATTATTATTATGTATCATTATTTTTATTTTTACATGTAATTTGAACTCCGTAGAAGGCCTACACTAATACAATAAATGTTTTGCATTCAGAAGGTCACAAGCTTAATTTCCAGCATATCCAGGTAGAGGAGCTGGAAAAGATCTCATCTGTAACCTTGGAGATTGTATGAACAATATTGAGCTACATGGACCAGTGATCTGATTCAGTATAAGGCAGGGTCTTGTGTAGCCAGTCCTCAGTTCATACTCCTAATATCATCCACACTTCAGTAGCTGAATTGTTTACTAAGCAATATACAGTAGCTGTGTGCCACTTATTTTTAAAATCTGTCATGCTCACAAATACCACTGAATAAATTATGACTGCTTTAGATGTTTGAAATTGTGGTGTGTTTGCAAGAATCCACCCAGAACCATGAGCCCTAGATAGCCCAAGAAATCAAACTAAGGCATGTCCATATGTAGTCCCAAGCAAATCCCAAAGCTTTCATGTCATTATATACTCCAGTCAACAGTCAGTTGGATGTAGTTCCTGTTCTCAAGCACAGATAGGCAGGCAAGCGGAAAATTTGAGGTAGGCCAGAGAGAAAGAGTGTGTTTCATGGGGAGAGAGAGCCAAACAAAAAGAGAGAGCAGCCTGTGTATCTAAACCAGCAGCCTACCTAAACTTCGGATGCAAAAGTGAGCTAGCATTTCCTGGAGGCTTGCTAATCCCAATCAGGCTGCAACTGGTGAGCAACAAGTGAAGCACAGACATTAAACCAACTAGGGCCTGAAGAACTCTGTCATGGTATCCAGTTCTAACAGATGGCACTTATAGGTATGGAAGCTGCATTCTGGATAACTGATATATCACAAAAATAAGAGACACCTGAAGTGTATTTGGGGTTTTGCCTTCTTTCCACACATCTACTTAGATATCTATGACAGTTCATGCAATTTCATGTAGCACTTGTAGAGCTCCAGGTATGCGTCTGATAAGTGGACAATCTAGTAGATGGTTGTTTTGACCATCTTTTGTGTCCAATTCACACCGCATGACTTACAGGACTCAGACCCTTCAAAGACCCATATTTATTTATTTTTTACAAGATAAAATACAAAGCCACCTATGGAATTCTCCTGATCCATGAAATATTCTATCATCCCAGAGATCCAACAGCACAAGCAAGAGGACACAAAGCTGGCACTGATCTGAAACAGGGCAGGCCCAGCACTCTAGACATAATTGCAGGTATTGGCCCACAGATTCTTGGTGTGAGTTCAGGACCACGGCCAGCAATTTCCCAACTAAGGTTACAGACATGACCTCAGCTCTAGCCTGGAGCAACTGTCAGGGTTTTATAGCCTAGCCAGCTGTGTCTTTCTGGGAGCTCCATCCCCTTAAGTGACCTTAAGTGAGTACATCTTTAAGGACCCGTGTCCTGCTCTTCAGACACTAGCTCCTTCCAGGAGGTGAAGGCTAGAATAGTAGTGATTTGGTTGAATAACACTTCCCAAGTTGGGAAAGGTTTATTCTGTTCACTGGAAGAGCCCGAGGTCCACTCCTAAGAGGGCAGTGGTATTTCACCAGGTTTTAGTGTATGGTATGCAGGAACCAAGATGGAGGGCTCTGCTTAGGAAAGGGCGGTGAGTCGGTCTGACTTCTCTGAGCAGCTGATATTTTAGTCTTAATACCAGGCCATGATAAATGTTAAGCTTTTGCAACAAAGTAAAAAGGCAACTCAAAGCACCTCCAGGCAGTGACTAACACCCACAATCCATATGAGGCTGATTATGCTTATTGTTGCTAGTGCAAATGTACTGGCAGGATCTGCATGAACCACTGCTGGCATAGTCAATATCCAGTACTAGATGGCATTTTCCTAGGGGGAACTTTTGCTTCCTGTCTGGAGCTTTGGGTACCAGTGGAAACAGATCTCTGAAAGCACTTTTAGTTGTGGAAGTTGCTTTGACTCTAGCAACATAATTAAAAACAACATCCTTGGTGAAATGGAAGCTAAACCAACTGTAGCAGAATGACTCATAGCTAAAGCTTTACAGATAAGCTGTATTATTTAAATGTCACTTCAGACAAAGAGGATGGCTTTATGCAGAGGAGAAGGGGGGAAAGTCAGAAGAGAAAGCAAAAAAGGGCATATAAAATGGACTATGGAGGAAGTTCAGAGTTTGTAAGATGTAGGAGTAACAAAACAAATCAAAACAGTGTAACAAAACTTCACCAAAATTCACCATATGGGGGGGGGGAAATCAGGACCAGTATTTTTACTTATTTTTGTCTTATCATTAAGGCTGAAATCTTTTGCAAACTAAAGGCGAATAATTCCCAATGATTTTCTGTTGTATAAAAGCCTTTTTACTCAAGAGTTTTCAGTCACTGCATGAATAAAGCATTTATGTTGCAGGGAAATCAAACTGCCCCATTACTCAAAAATTTGTTGTTGGAAAAATATGACAAACTGCAACATGTAGCTAATGTATTATTGGTGATGATGATATTTAGCAATTATATAATACTTCGGAATGGTCAAAGCACCTTATTTAAGTTTATATACAATTGTGGTATGCCATTCTTGGGGAGATCCATCATATTCTCTCTTTCCACCTTCAGGTCTTAAGACTCACCAGCTTATGCAGACTTTTGGGTTTTAATAGATACTGCTGAAATGCAGACTTTTGGGTTTTAATAGATACTGCTGAAATGACATATTTTTCACTGGGCTATTCTGGTGCTGTTTTCCAAGTGTTTTCTTTTTTGTGACTCTTGATATGGTATTTTTAAAACTTGCATTCTTGTGGTTTTAGATTGTGATTTTATAGTTTTAGTGTTTGGAGTCATTGCTAGCCACTTTGAATATAGTTGCATAGGAAAATGAGATGGAAACCTATTACATTAAGTAAACAAAAATCGTATTAAGTATCCTTTACAACAGCCTTGTGAGTAAGGTCAGCAGCATCGTGTATTTAGCTAGGGATGACCACAATAAAACAACAAACAGGTGCTTCTCCTCTGAAAAAAGTATTTGATTGTGTTCTGGCTCCCACACATGGTCATAGCTTGGTGACTGCCAAAGGCTTTATTGCAAAATTCACTTCAATGCTTAACCATATATCAGGCTACATGGTTCAGAAGTTCACAGCGGAGTTAGGCATAAGCTAAGGCAATGTCCAAAAACTTGATACCCCATCCATATATGCCTTTTCTGAAGAGCAGGGTGGGCACATTCATTCCTGCAGTTGCCATCCCAAGCCATAGGACTGGGCAAGCAAGCAGACACTGTTATGAATATAGGATGGGTTTGCTGGGTCTGCCTTTGCTGCATCCTTACAAATGGAGGTGGAAATGACAAGATTGGCCCACTGTCTGATCTAGCCTCAGGTGCCCCTCTAGGGGTGGGAAGCAGTTTGCAGGCAGGAGGCAGTGCTGCATCAGGTCAAGTTGCTCTGTCACTGGACTCTGGATGTCTGATGACCAAAGTAGAGATCTTCCCTGACAATCCACTTTGCACCTCTTCAGTACACCAGTTCAGAACCTTCCAGACAGCTGGGTCCCTCCCCAGGATCCAGCTCCACATCCCATTATTCCCCCTCCCCGCCTCTGCCAAGCCCTAACAAGAAGTCTCCATGGGGCCCATGACACATCTGGCATCTGGCAGCCATACCAATTTTTAATGCAAGTGCTAAAATTTGCTTGCTAAGTCATAATGGCATACAAGAATATTGAAGAAATAAGGGATGTCACATCACTCACTGCAGACTCTTTACCGCAATGCAATCGTAACTTTTCTACTAAGTTTTGTACATTTAAACTACTGTCTCACTATTTACTTTGGTGCCTTAGCTTGCAATATAAAGGTACCCCTGCCCGTACGGGCCAGTCTTGACAGACTCTAGGGTTGTGCGCCCATCTCACTTAAGAGGCCGGGGGCCAGCGCTGTCCGGAGACACTTCCGGGTCACGTGGCCAGCGTGACAAGCTGCATCTGGCGAGCCAGCGCAGCACACGGAACGCCGTTTACCTTCCCGCCAGTAAGCGGTCCCTATTTATCTACTTGCACCCGGGGGTGCTTTCGAACTGCTAGGTTGGCAGGCGCTGGGACCGAGCAACGGGAGCGCACCCCGCCGTGGGGATTCGAACCGCCGACCTTTCGATCAGCAAGTCCTAGGTGCTGAGGCTTTTACCCACAGCGCCACCCGCGTCCAGCTTGCAATATACTATAGCCTCAAATAATGTGTACACCCTTTTGAGAGGTGGTGGTGGAAATCAGTCATCGTGGTCTAAGACCCTAAAGCAGTATTTGCTGTAATATATATCAATAAAGATGTGCATCTTTACATTGCTACTTCACAAGTCATTTTTGGCAAAACGTACAGCTTATAAATGTTAAAATAAATAAAATCTTGTTTATGAGTAATTATCTGATTTTATAATTACATGTATGATTGATTTATTTTTAGCAGAGAGAAATAAAAGCAACACTCACCTTTCGCTGACATTTGTAGGAATGAATTGCTGCAGCTCCTTCTATTTTGCGTTTTTGATGGCCCACCATTCTTACTAATGTGCTTCTCTTTCACTTTGCTTTCTGAGGTTTTCACTTACAAACTGAGCATGTTTAAAGTTGTTCTGAGTCACCTGATAAAACGCCAGGGTTTTTTTTCCCCTCCTCAAAGAAGTGGACAAAGGTTATGCCAAGCTGTTCTGTATGACGAGGATTAAAGATCATGTCAGCATAAGCTGCTGGTGATAAGACTATTTACAATATGACGACCCAAGTCTGCATGTAGTTTTTCTCCTTCTCAAGCCTTTGCACATTTATATGCACTTAAACCCAAGCAAAATCCATTGAGATTCAACTGGAGTTTTACAGTGAGAGGAACTAGCATGGTTATTTGGAATTAAAGTTGTAAGAAAGAAATAATTAAGTATTTTGCACAAACAACTTTAGAACCAGGATAAAAAGGCTATTCTTTTAAGCTGTACTGGAGCTATGGCAACAGTTTCACTTTGTAAAATTAACTGTGTCATTGGTTAACATTCTGGTGTTGACTGAATGAGAAAAACAGTTTAGTTGGCAAGGGCAGAGGAGTGTGGTTCAATACTCCAATGTCATATTTTATACACAAAAATAATTAAAATGTTTGCATAGGAGGTTGACTGGCTATGGAGCAAGATACACTCATCTAAATGAGACTTTTACTAAGCTTGTTAACAACAAACTTTGACCTGCAAAATGTGGGCAGCTATCACATGGCCTTGAATGTGCTGTCTCTCTGCCTCAGTCCCCCAGTATTAAAATGGGGTCATGAATACTATTAAAGTGTGGCCTACTTCATTGATATGTGTTATGGGTCTTCATGGCAGCGCCCCCAGTCTAGCTAATACTGTATTATTTGTGACAAAAGCTGCAAGCTTAAGCACAGTTACTTGGGCATAAGTTGCTTCTGAGTGAACATTTATGTATTTGTGCCATTTCTAGAACAACCCATTGATCAAAGTTCCCAAGGGAGTTTACAGAAATCTATAAATTATGCAAATACAATGCAATCCATAAGACAACCTCAATACAAATAACATAAAATCACAGAGCCAGTGTAAAACCTCACCCAAACCATCTAAAAACAGACAAGCATAATACTGTATATAAAAAACAACCTTGAAACAGCAAAGACAAAGCAATTCATGTCCAGATCTAAATGCACTAAATAATTATCAAGATGTCTAAGGCTTTCCTGTCAACTTTCCCAACAAGCACAGAATTGAGATGGATGTCCTTATTTACAGTAGGGAATGTCTATAGCATAGTGGAAGTGTACATGTAGAAGCTTTCAGAAAGGAAGCCTGTAGTTCAGTGGCAGAGCACCTGCTTTTCATGCAGAAGGTCGCAGGTTCAGTTCTCAGCATCTCTAGGTAGGGTTGAGTCAGACACTGGAGAGCCACTGCCAGCCAGGGTAGGGAGTATTGAGCTGGATAAGCAATGGTCTGACTCATATGGCAGGTTTCCGTGTCTGAGGTTCAACTCCTAGCAGCTCCGGTTAAAAAGATCAAATAGCAGATGATGGGAAAGACCTCTAACCACTGCAGTCAAGAGCAGGCAACACTGGCCATTGTCCAACTCAGTATGATACAGTTCCATAAGTATTTTTAAAATTAAATTTCTACCTTGCCCTTCCTCCCAAAGGAGCCCATGGTAGCAAATGTGAAAGCACCAGGAAAAAGTAGCCAAAATGTTAAATGTGCAGGTGCATGTATGTGCTTGTTTAGTCTATTATTATTATTAAAAATAGAAACACTTTGGAGTGTGGGGAGAATTGTGACTGTGTCACACAGGAATGGAGGTTTACCCCATTTAGATGGAAATAACCTCGCTGAACCTGCCACTGGCTATATTTTAAAAGCACATTCCCCAGACCCAAATAATTCTGGGTATTGTAGTTTGTTCAGAGTTACTGGGAATTGTACTGGTGAGGGATAAACCACAGTGCCTATAATTCTTTGAGGGAAGGAATGTGCCTTTAATGTGCTTTAAAGGTATAGTGTGCATGTAGAGCTGGACTAGTACCACATACTGTACTGTAAAACCATTTCCACATTAAGTTATGATAGAAATAATTAGCAGCAAGAATTGCTATATAACTACATATAACAAAAGTTATAGATAAGCCCCCTGCAATAGGCTCTATCTACCAGACTTATTATTTACTTTATGTAATGCAAGCATCCAGTGGCGTAGCGTGGCGGGGCAAGGCAAGTAATTTGCGCCCCCTAACCCATGGATTTGCGCCCCCTAACCCGTGGATTTGCGCCCCCTAACCTGTGGATTTGCCCTAACCCCAGATGTTGCGCCCGGTGCGGCCGGCACCCCCTGCACCCCCCACGCTACGCCACTGCAAGCATCCAAACATTATTTAAAGGAAACATGGGCACCCCTGCCACAAACAAATAATAAAATCACCACAATTCAAGCAACGCATCGGCAGGTAAAAAATAAACCAAATAAGAGTCAAAATTTTAGTCTTTTAAAGCTAAAAATTCAAACCCGTTCCAAGCATGGGAAGTAAAAGTCCAAAGATGCGCAAGAAATGACATTACATAATTACATTTACAAATCTAGTTGCCTCTTTTAGGCATGAAGCAAGGTAACCTAGGGTTTGCAAACATACTGCAGCCATAATTCGCCCCTGTCCGTATCTTTTTATCCCACCACATTCGGAATGCACGAAAGTACAAAGAAGGAGACGATGCACAGCCTTCCATCACCGTCGCCGTGCGCGCGCATTCACGCACACCCTCCCTTCCCCCTCCCCAACCCGCCGCCTCCCAGAAGCAGCCAGCCGAGGTGCCGCTCAGCCACTCTTATGGCTCTTTCCCTTCGACCCTGAAGCGGAATAGGAAGGACGGATGTCGTCACCGCGGCTTCTGATTGGCTGCTCGCCTGGCCGGGGCACTTGGGTCTCTTTTCTCGCGCCACTTTCAGGCGCTTTGGCGCGAGAGCGTGGAGTTGCGGGCCGGGCTTGGAGGCGCTGCGGGCGGCAGTCAGCTCCCTCTCCGCCATGGATTTGAGCGGGAGCCCGCGCGACGGGGCTGGCGACGGCTGCCACGGAGGTGAGAGGGAGGCGGCGCCGTCGGGTCGGGCGGGCGCCGGGTTGCGAGGAAGGCGGCGGCGGGGGTGGAAGGGGGCGAGGGGGCGAAGGAGGGAGGCAGCGCAGGGCCAGGTAAGTGTGGAGTCCCGGGCGGCAGAAGCTGCAACCGCGCGTGGTTGTTTGTCTTTTGACTTGAGGTTAAACCACTGCAAACGGGGGAGGTGGATTCGGGGGCAAGCGTCCTGGATGGAGAGAGAAAGGCGGGACAACGTCATGTACTGGTATGTTTACCTGGAAGTAAGTCACACAGGTTTCTATGGTGCTTACTCTCGGGAATGTATGTGGGGATAGTGCTTCTTCCTCCTGTGACACCTTTGCTTTCATTTGCCACCAAAAACGCCACTTACAAACCTTGACGTTTTACATTTGAATGGTGTACATGGTTCAATAGGAATCTAAAAGAAACACACCTTTGCAGGTGCCCATTGAATGTCTTCCTCTTAACAAACCTTTGAATTGGAGATTCTTATCTGAGTCTTTATTTGCATTGGACTAGAAATTGTGTGTTTGTGTGTGAGAGAGAGATTATATGTAATTAATATAATATAATATAATATAAATTTGTTAAGTTTGGGCTGTTTCCCCAAATGGCCAGTGACTGGAGACAGCACCCCTGCAGCATTGCTCTTTTAAGATGCAGCTAGCTACCTGGCAGGCTGGATGGAGTAAGGGTAATTGTGAAAGGCAAATGAACAGAGGCAGAGGCTCATCTACTAGTTGGTTTAGCTACCTCACAAGGGAGTTGTGAGGGAAGCGTGGAATGAAAATGTTGTTGCTGCTTCCCTGTTGTCTTCAGGGTTACATAGGTTCTCCTCTCTAAAGTTAAAGAAAGAGAGTTGGTGACTTGAAAGAGTTTTTATTTTGCTGAGGCGTTGGGTAAGAAGTGTCTTAAAGTCGGGTTTGTGAGATATTATGTGTAAATTGGGGGGACCTGGGGA